CCCACATCGGGCTCCCTGCTCGGCAGGAAGCCTGCTTCTCCCTCTCCCACTCCCCCTGCTTGTGTTCCCTCTCTTGCTGTGTCTCTGTCAAATAAATAATCTTTAAAAAAAAAATAAAAATAAAGCCAACTTTTTCCAAAGCTGCTTTATGTTCTATCCTTTCATGCCCAGTTATTGCAAATTTGGTCTTCTTATCATTTAACTGACATGAATGTAAATGACTATGCCAAAACTATTTATTGGTCTTCAACTACGTAAGTACACAAAAGTAGATTTCAGAAAATACAGCCATATCAGAATTGCAGAAAGCCAAGGATACTTCATTTGTCTGCATAAGAGGAAACACAGGGGATAAGATTGGCATCCGTGATTCCAATACCACGAATATCAGAAAGATTAGCATCACCAAAATCCAGCAAGTATGGCAGGCATCTTGACCTAACATATATTTGTACCAGAAGCAGAACATTCTTAGTTGTTATTAACTCCAGTATATTCTGGGTCCTGGCTAGTAGTGCACTGTATACAAACAAAGATTAAGCCAAGTATTGCAGAAACATGCTGGAGTTCCTTTCCTCCGAATTCCAGCCCTTCTGAGTTCCCAAAAATTCCCTGGGTTCATGAACTAATGAGTACTTCTTTATCCTAAAAATGAAAAAAAACCTCATCACTGTGTTTTTAACAGAGAAACATTTGTGGAAAATGAGGACAAATCCCTTCAAATGTTCTGGAACTCGATCTAACCAAATTTACATGTTTCTGAATTTCAGTAATGGTTTTCACTTTGTAAGCAGGAGGGTCAGGCCCCTCCTGCTGCTTGAACAGATGGTGGAATTCCAGCAGAACCCAGTGTCAGCCCAGCTGAGCTGTAGGAACTGCGATGTGAATACTTCACATTCTTTCCAACCACAACTATGAGTTCAGGCACAAAAAGTATCCCTTAAGCTTCAAGTGAAGGAAGGATATGAGAAAACATAATTTTACACTGAATCCAAATGCTATACTCTCTCAAGAGTGAAACATCTCAACTTAAAAATACCGTGGATCTGGGACAAAGGACCCTAAAACTGGCTCAACTGGTTCATGGACTGGCACTGGCGGTGAAGCCCAGACGAGGAGATCTGTACTCACGGGCTGGGGCGCTGCTAGAGCACACCCTGACACGTGAGAGAGGCCTCCCAGGCTGAGGGAGGTGTCTCTTCTCTGAAGAGACAAGAAGAAACATTGATTAGCACCCAGACTTTGACTTCTGGATTGTAAAGAAAAACTTTCCCTTAGTTTATTAGGAACTAATAATTGTTCTGTCGGTTTCTTCTAAGTTGTCTCCTAAGTTGTTAAGGCTTTTAGTGAATTCTGTGAGGTATTTGTAGTCAGATGTTTACCGTGATGACTTTTTATATTTCCATGGGCTTTGGAGTCAGGCCTGAATTTGAATCCTCTCTCTTGCTTTACTGAAAAGGGCAAATTAAGTTTTCTAGGACTTAGTTTCCCAGTCTACAACATGGTGATACGAGATTGGAGATTTAAAGTGCAAGAGTGACTGACACTCAACAGGCTCTCAGAAAACAGAATTCTCTTCTGTGCTTCTCCCAGGAGTCCAGGTACTAGCGGGGAAAAGCAGAATTCCCTTTAGGGGCACCAACTTACATTTTATAGGAAGGAATGGGAGGGACAGGAATGACTCTTGCCCTCATGTAACCCCCTTGGGGTCAGGCCAGAAAAGGGAACCCAGGCTTCGGGCTCTGGCGTTGCTCTACACATCCCAGGCCAGGGAAACAGGAGGGACCTTCCAGTGTGCACCCAGCCCTCACTCACATCCCTGGGGCCACTCTCCCATCCTTTCCCTAGACCCACAGGCCGGAGAAGTCAGGAATCCAACTTGTGGATTAGACTCTGAACCTAAGTTTGCTATCTTTGAGTATAACTAGGGGGCATTTAAAAAGGGAAAAACAGGGGCACCTGGGTGGCTCAGTCATTAAGCGTCTGCCTTTGGCTCAGGTCATGATCTCAGGGTCCTGGGATCGAGCCCCACATCAGGCTCCCTGCTCGGCAGGAGGCCTGCTTCTCCCTCTCCCACTCCCCCATGCTTGTGTTCCCTCTCTCGCTGTGTCTCTCTCTGTCAAATAAATAAATAAAATCTTAAAAAAAATAAAAAGGGAAAAACAAAACAAAATAACACGCCTACTCTCTTCAAAAACAACAATGACTTCCTAGTGCATCAGTTCAACAAGTAGAATCTTGGGCTTCCCCAGAACAGGTGGTAAAAGACAGATAAGTTTGTAGGGAGAGGCCTGTAATTGCCCGTTGCTAATACTAATAGTTTATTTCCTAATGCTCTAGAAAAAGAATTCTGTTAAAAGAGAGGGAGGGGAGCTGAGGGCACAGCGCGGACAGCTGAGGATACATACCTGGCCGTGCCCATCGTCCCAGCACCAGTGCAGCTCCGACTTCCCTCTGTGATACCGAGAGACGTGGACCGCCCCTCCTTCCTCCAGCACAGATGAATAGTATCTCTACAGAAGGAACGGGAATGATGCTGGGCAAGCAAATAGTCTGGTCAAATTTTCAAAAAAACCCACAACTCCATGACTTGGGGAAAGTATGGTTAAGGAGGGAGGCAACAGAGCAAAGGTGAATTACCTGCTCTCTTGATAGGCCTCTGAAGTCATCCAACAAATCTGAGCCTATGTGAAGTGGCTGCAGAGGGAACTGCATTTGGCATGACTTTGCTGCCATCTGCGGCCTTTGTAGGGCAAGAAGCCTGGCCAACCACAGCTGGGCAGGACCAGGCTCTCTGCCAGGTTAAAGAATTTTCACAACGTCTTCGTCCCAATGTCAAATACATATGCCCTTCCATCTCCTCTCATCACAAGTTCTGATGAACTGTTCCATGGTTACTGTCCAAGTTTCAGACAAGGACAAGGGAAGAGGGGTGCGTCTCCTTGAGATTTAGAAATACAACAGGAAATGTAACAAAAACTCAAGAGCTAGGCAACTGATCTCCCCATGCGGAGGGGAGGAAGAGGTCTCTAATTTAAGGAGAATAATCCAAAGGATCAGAAAGCAAATTACATTTTTCTTGTCTACTTCCTTCCTCCCCCTCGAAGTTAACCTTAGACTTGCCCCTGATTATGACTAATGATGAGGACATCACAAGTCTGCTTGTTTTGAACATAGTGTACGGACAGTGTTTAAGGCATGAGACCAAAAGAATAGGAAGCTGGGGAAAGCACTTTAGGACATAGGTTTAATAATGTATTTTGGGGGCTGCTTCAAAATTGTAAAGGCAGACTCAGAACACTGTTCTTAATTCTATCTCCAGAAAGCCCAAGGGTTCTGAGACTCCATTCCAGAGTGGAAACTTGAACTGAAGTATGGACTAAATAGCAAAATGAAGAACACACCAATTTGCTAAACCTCAGACCAAAGACTATTGTTATTCCTTTTAGTGAACCATGAACCAAAATGTTTCAGTTGATCTCTTCACAGAAGAGCTGAAGTTATGGATTTTTCTAAAACCATTTAACAGAATAACATAAAAATATTCTCTGGACCATATCTCATTGACTGGAATCCTGTTCTTGGAGTCAGGTATTTTACAAAAGATGTAGAGAGATTAGAGATTTTTTGAAATCTTAATATATGAAATTGAAAAGCAGGACAGAAACAAGGTATTCTCTTCTTCTCCCTTGTAGACCAGCCACTTATAACCACAAAAGAATCACATCAGGTTAAGGCTCAAAGAGACCACAGAGTCTGCTATAACTCCTAGACAACAGAGTACCTTCCATGCAGGGGATTTCCCTGGATGCAGGCTGGCCTGCCTTCACCATTCCCTCAAAGTACTTAAAGATGACCTTAGCATGTGGTTTTGAGAAGGGCTTTAAAACCTTTGTACACCCATTTCAATGAATGGTACCCAAAATTTCATGTAAGTCCCTCATGCTATAGTTTATGACAATTTTCTGGTGTTCATCTCTCAGTAGAAAAAACCAAAGAAACAGACTCTAAAGGCTGGAAAGCACTTTAGAGATCTTCATTTTATGACAGGGAAGCTAGGCTGAGTGGGACTAATTGGCCCAGGGCATTATAGCCAGTAAGTGGCAGAACATGGGTCTGGTTCCTGGGAGGCTGCTCCTGCCATTAAGTCACACCACCACTGGGGGGGCACTGCATCTGTTCCACATAACCACCTTGGTGGCCAACAAGTGATACGGACTCATAGAGACATACTTAAAAACTGCATTACCGGGGACTTGAAACAGAGGTTAAATTCTAGTGTACGGATATTGTTTCAGTACATTTTGAAACCCAGAAAGGCTCAGTTCCAGTTTAGAACGAGCTTACTGATGTTTTTTAACTTCAGTTCAGTTCAAAGTTTAAAAAATCCCTAATATCTGGACTTGATGGTTTTGGAATTCAGCAAATAACCTCCCCACCCCCCCAACAACCCACTAATCTGAAAACAAGAGGGAGGACAGAAACCTTTTGTGGCTTGTTCACTGCTACATCCTCAATAATACCTACAGAGTTAGACTTTCAATAAGTATCTGTTGAATAAATTCTAACTTGGATTTATCACCTGGTTTAAATCCCTGTTTACAATCTAACCATGAAGGTGGGGCAGGGTAAATGGGTTTGTGGTCCATCTGCAGGTGGATGGGGGCATGCTTTGGCTTACACCAACTTACCCCGCACTGACTTGAAGTATAGTCCATGAATTCTGCCATTGTTCTGAAGGAAGCACTTAGGGTTGGTTGTCTTTCTTCTCTCTATTTGAATAAATGGCAAATCACAGGTGAGATCTGGTAGTCCCTACTGGAGAATGAGGTCATTTTGGAAATAGCATCTTTTTTACTTTTTGAAAGGCCTCTACAAGTTTAAGTAAACAAGAAGGATCTTACTGAGGAAGAATTCCACTCTAAAAGGAATAAACAGACACGCAATTTATCCAGGACAAAGAAAGATGGTAGCATGTAAGAACTTTTTAAAAAAAGTAACCAACCAGGGCCGAGCACTAGCGGTACCGTAAACTACCCAATAAGAATCTGTCAAATGTCAAGAATTTTCAAAGGACTTTTCTGTTCACTGTCCCGTTACTTTACAGCTTCCGCCAAAGGCTGGATCAGGGGCGTGCGCTCGGCGTGCCCCGGTTGCCAGCAGGCCACCGCGGAGCGAATGAATGGGCTGGTCCCCCAGCACTGGAGCCCTCACCTCTCCCGGGAGAAGGCGCTGGGGGCCAGCTGCGGGCCGTCTTTCTCTGTAGGGCCGCTCCCGGGAAGTGACCCCCACGCCGCTTTTGGGAAGCTCCCGCGAATGCCAGTCCACCGCCCTCCTCTTGGCCCGCTCCAGCACTTCTTGACCCAGCCTAGCCGTGCGCTGCAGGGCACGTCGGTCCACCCCGTTCAGCGCCGCGGCCGCCAAACAGTTCTCCATGTCTCCCTGCGCGGGCACATATACACAAACACCGGCCGGTCAGCGGGCCGCAGCGACCCTGCTCCAGCTGCGGGTCGGAGCCCTAGCTTCGACCTCCCCGGCGACCACCGCCCCGGGCTCTGCCCTTAACGCGCTCTCCAGCCGGCGCCCGGCCGGGGGCGAGCGGGTCCGCGGAGATCCCCTCCATTTCCGTCTCCCCCTTCCCTAGGTGGGGGGCCCTCACCAGCCCGCTTCTCTAAGCGCATGCGCTCAGCGCTGTATGGGAGAGAGAGAGGGCTGGGCGGGAAGCACCCGGCGCCGGCGCAGCAGGCCATTGGCGGGGGGCGGGGCCTGTGGCCTGCGTCGGTCACGCCTTCTTTCTGCGTCCGGGCCGCGGCCCCTACGCGCCGGTTGCCGGGCTAACTGCCGGGCGCAGGGGCGGGGCCTGGCGGCGTGCGGGGCGTGGGGGCCAGAGTCTAGCCGGTGGCGGGTGCGGCGGCTTGTCTGCTCCAGACGAAGAGCCCATGGGCTGTGGGCTTCGCCCTTCGCGGTGGTCTCCAACGTCAAACACGGTGGAGCCTGTGTAAAGTCAGGTGGTCTCCCGTTGGCCTAAGAAATTGTGGGGGATTAGACACCTGCTTCCAGGCGACTCTTGCTGCCTGGTTTATATCTTGGAATATCGCTATTGTAAAAAACCCTTTTGTTTGAGGAGATGAGTAGGAGAGGTCAAACAGTGCAGCTGCCAAGGTGGCGCTTGGAGAAGAGTTTGGCCAGGCGCCTGTGGGCAGTGGGACGCCCTCCGCCAGATGGCAGCTGTTCAGGGCCTGAGGGGCGCCTGAGTTGTATGTAGAGCCCCCTAATCCTCTCATGGCAGTTTCCTCACTCCGGTGGGAAGGACGGACTCACACATTTTTGGAAAAGCCTCTTCTAGCGGGGTGGAGTTGAACCTACCTTTCAAGAATAGTTGCGCCACATTTAAATAAGAAGCTGTGCCTCGTTACCCTGCACTCCACTCCTCCACACCTCTGGGTTATTTGATAGACCGTATAGCTCAAGGTCTCGCTGCTAATTAATGACTCTGCTACCCCACACTGCGCACAGCAAAGCGTTGGTGTTCAGGAAGAACCCATTTAAGGGATACTGCTCAGTGGGGGTCACTTTAAGGGACACTAGGAAATCTTCAATGCTGAGCGAGTCTCCTCAGCAGATGGCTTGATCAGCAGTTCCGGGCTACCCCAGGATACTACTGCAACCTCCCACCGCATTGTTGCTCATTTCCTGCTCTCCTTTCACCGGAGAAATTGAGGAAAAGTCTTCATTATCATGGGGATTTTTTTTTTTTTAAGATTTTATTTATTTATTTGACAGAGAGAGCAG